TAGAATACCCTACCTTAAAATATCTATTATAACTATCCCTAATTTATCGATACTAGACTTAGTCTATTTAATTTAATCCAGTTTGAGTTGGAAAGTTAAATTCTTTATTATATATTTATCTAATATATATATTAATTTCTTATGCCTCTATATTATACTTAGGGTATTTGAGCTTGTTGTAGGTTATTGTATTTTATGCTGAGTAAGGTTAGGTATTTTAGATAGTTTCTTTGTTATTATATCTAGGGGTTATTCCTCTATATTTCTAATTTTTATTTTATTTTTTTAGGCTTAGTTAAGACTGCTTGTTCTTCTATAATTAGAGAAGTTATATTTTTAGTATATTAAAAACTTGATATATTAGAACTTATCTTAGTTTTTCTAGCTGTATTTTTTATAGTCTGGTTTATTGTATTATAGTACTTTTATAGTAATATACTTAGTAATATTTTTATTCTTATACTTATATTATTTTCTTATTTTCTGTTATTTATATATATAGTATTCTTTAGTTTTATAGTTATTAATAGTACTAGTCGGGTTAGTATACTCTAGCAGGAAGAGATCCCCTCTATTCTTTAGATATATAATATTAACTTCTATATATTATTAAATAATATAAAAATACTTAAGTTCCTCTCTTAGATATAATTTCTAAATTAGTATATTATTTATTTATATAGGGTAATAGTTCTAATAGATTTTTTTTTTTTATATATTTAATATATATAGATAATATATAATATCTATAAGATTTTTTTATAGTTAGAATATACTACTACTATTCTTAGGTTATTATTTTCTTATTTCTTTAAAATTATATAATATAGGTTTCAGCTTAACTATATATTATAGGCGCAAATATAAATAGGCTTATTCTTAGTAGGTTCTTATTATTTATTTATAAGGTTATTATATATTTCTATTAATTTTATCTATATTTAGTTTCCAAGGCTATTATATATCTAGTATTCTTTATAACTAAGTCCAGAGTCTTATTTATTCTTTATTTCTAGGTATTCTTTAGCAGGGGCAATAATATTCTAATTAGCTATTAAAAGTTCTAGCTTTTTAGCTAAGTATATTTCTTATCTAGAGTATATCTATAGATACCTTCATTCCTAATATAGAAGTATTATTAGAAATTATTCTTTTTTAGTATTCTTTAGATATTATTATTCTCTGTTTTTTATTAATTGGGGTGGTATAATGAATCTAGGTTATTTATTAGAAATTAAATCTCCTTATTATACTATAGCTATAATATAAGATATTTTATTAATTAAGTTATTTATAGTATAATATTATTTTAAGTAGGGACTAGTCTCTAGATATCTTTATTTTTATTTTAAGTATAGTTCTTTTTTTTTTTTAATCTTATTTATTATTTTACTTTGGTTTTGCTATTTATTTTTTTATATTATATAGCTTATTTTTATACCTTTTCTTAAGTATTATTCTTAATTTTCTTAAATATCCTCTAAATATATAACTTAAGGAATAGAATAATTATTAAGATACTTAGCCTTTTAATTATTATTCTTATAGGCTCTATTAAACTTTCTATTATAATTACTCTGGATTATAATAAGAGTTTTAAATTAAATAGCAGTTTAAGGTTTATTATTATTAGAGTGCTGGTAGTTAGTAAATTATATATACCTACCTTTTAATATAGGCTTATGCTTCTAGTTGGATTTTGAGGTATAATACTTACTTTTAAAGTAGCCTATCTTTTTATAGTTCTAGTACTTAATCTTTAAGTAATTCTTCTAGACGGCTTTTAATTTTATAGATTTTAATATTATTCTATAGAAGATATTACCCTAGTATTTCTTCCCTTAGTTAGTATTATTCTTCTTATTTTTTAGAATAGTATATAGAATATTCCTTCTAACTTTTTAATTTTCTTTTTTTATTATTTTTTAAATTATTAGTTATTAATTTCTATAAAAAGAGTAATAAGGGTATTAAAGGTTATAGGCTTATACCTAACTATTATATTTTTAACTTCTAGCTTAAGTTCTCTATAGTAGGCTACTATATATACTTTTTCTTTTTAATTTAGGTATAAGATACTATTATAGAACTCTACTATATAGCTTAAAGCTAATACCTTCTAGATAAGCTTTTAAAGTTATATTTTAGCTGCTTATTTTTCATTAATAAAATTAAATATATCTCTTAGTTTTTATTTAAATACTTTATAGCTAGTATAGATAGCCCTGGTTTTATCCTTCCAGGCATAATAAGAATTATTAAGATAGTCTCTTATAACCAATTTAAATTACTAGAATATTTTATCCTTAAGAAGTCCTATAGTATAGTAGATCTTAGCTTCTTCCTCTATAAACTATATAGAGTAGTAGCTTTAAAATATCTAAACTTATATAAGGAATTCTTAGAGGCTAGTAGCTGCTCTATTAAATAGATTAAGTTACTTAGATCTAAGGATTTCTCCTATATCTTTCCTATTTACTATAAGAGAGTCTAGATAAGTAATATAGTTATAGTAGAGTGCCTCTTAATAAATAAGGTCTCTGTTAAGGCAGTTATTCTATATTAGGAGCTAGGTAACTTACTCTATTAGCTTATTGATTTTATTATTCTTTTTTAGATTTTTTTTAATAGAGATCTCAGCAAGCTTATTAAGCTTAGCTTTAAGGTAATTATTTTACTTCTAGAGTTTATTAAGATTTTTTTTAATAACTTTATTATTAGAGTTAGATTTATCTATATTTATATTATTAATAGAGTCTTAACTCTATATTATTAGAGTAATAGGATTTTTTCCAGATCTAGATAAGGTATTTAGAGTTACAGAAGCTATTTTAGCTTATTTAAGATATTACTTAAGTTAATATAGTAATATACTAAATAAGAGCTATTAATATATAATAGTTAGATCTAATCTAAGAATATAGAGTAGGTTTAAGATATAAGATATATAATTAAGTAGATTAGAATATTATAGTAAGTAATATAAGTTACAATCTAGTAATAGTAGAATAGTAGATTTAATATAACTAAATATATTAATAGCTAGTAAGGCTATTTATTTATAAAAGTATTAAAAGAGTATCTATATACTAATAGTACTAATATAGGCTTACTAGATAAGAGTAAGTCTAATTTTATAGCTTATTTTAGAGAAGTAAGTTATATATTCGGGCTTACTTATATAGGGTGAGTTTGGGATTTATATTAGGTGAAAAAGTAGGTATATTATAGTTCTGCTAGTTATAACTGCCTAGTCTTAATCTGGGCTGTAATATATAGCTGAAACCCTAAATTAGGCTCCAGCCTATAATACTAAAATAGCTAAAAAACACCTAGCTAATATACTTAGAATAGGAAATCTTAAAGAATTAGATTTCTAATAATTAAAAATATCAGCCTATAAAAGAAATTAGTAAAAAAAAATATAAAAAGAATATATATAAAAAACTTACCTTTCTAGATACTCTAGTCTTACTTAAATAGACATCTATTTCCTCCTCTTTCTTTCCCTTAGAACTTATATATAAATCCTCTTTAAAATCAGATAAAGGTAAGTATCATAGGCTGGAGCCTGGCTTAGGGTTCTAGCTGTGCCGGAACCCACTAATTAACATTACCTGGGCAACCACGTAGTATATTAGCGGTAAGGAAGCAGCTTCCTTCTTTCTTTCCTTCTTCTTCTCCTTAGCTTTAGATAGACAATTCTACAGTAACAGCCTGTTAAACAAACTCCTGTCCAGCTCTTTATAGTGAGTGAGGTGTTACGACTTGGTTTACCGAACAGCAAGAGAGGCTTAAAAGAGCAGCTAGTGTGCCCAGTAATTGCAATTAATGTGATTATTGCCCAATCTTTTGCCCCCTGGTACAGCGGTCTAGCACAACTGTTACAAGTATGTTATATCTTTTATTTTTATAAGAAATTTTAAACTTATAAATATTTTTCTAAAAATCCAATTTTTTTTTTAAATAGAGTATAAATTTCCAATCTTAATAGTATATAAGTTATATTATTAATATAAATACTTAGCTTTAAATACTTTAATAAGTATATTTTAAAAGTTAAAGTATATAAGTTTTTTCCTTCCTTTAAACTAAATAATATAGTAAATATATAAAGTAAAAAATATAAATTAAATACTATATGTTATGGGCTAGAGCTTTGCTCTAGCTTTGCATAAAGGAGAGACCTTGTATAGCTAATTGGTTGATCGTAATAACGATCAATCAATACGTATCCTTTTGCCGTAACGGTAAAGGGTAGCGCCGTAAGGCGCTGGTGGCCGTCGCGCTAGCTATCGCTTAGCCCTTCTGGGGTCAGCCCATCACACTATATTATTTCTTATTTTTTATATTATTATACAGCATTTTTAAAACCTTAAAGCTATATCCTTAATTAATAAAGAATTATATAGTATAATTTTAATAGTGAAATATTGGAAATTTCAATGTATAAGTCAATCTACCAATAGATAAGCGCGGATAACGCGCGCTAACCTAAACAGGAAGGTTGCTAACACAGTGCGACAACAGTATGGATTACACTGTACCACACTGTATTTCTTTAATTCTTTAATTAAATTATTAAAAAAAACTCTAAAAGAATCTAGCTTCAAAAAAATAAGATAATATTTAACTTTAAATATTAAAATATAATTTATTTGTATATATAATCTTTTTTTTACTACTTAGTAACTAATTATAATACATATAAAACCAACCGCTTTAAGAGGCCCTTCTTCCAGGTGACCGGTATCTCTGATCAGAAGTCTTGTGAATTTCGCCTTTGGCCTCATCGACAATGAGAAGGAAGGTGCCTACCTCTGGCTTTGTCGGCAACTAGATTCCTGCAGACGCGATCTTCACCTTCCAGCTTCATCTGTAGTTATTACAGATAAAGAAAAGGCTCTTAAGAATGCCCTCAACCAGGTCTTCCCTTCCGCTCAGCAGCAACTCTGTACATGGCACATTAATGCTTATGTGAGGGCGAAAATCAGATTACGATGGATGCTGTTGACCCCGATGACCTTGACGATGATTCTATCGATTCTGCTGATTCTGAACCTGACGAAGCACCTGAAGCTGCCAACATAGCCTCATCATTTCGCGACGATTTACGAGAACAAGATCACGCCTCGGCCCGCCTGTCATCACAGTCAACTTCTCTAGAAGATGAAATACACGGCCGCCAAGGGATGTTTGAAGCCTGGAAATGCGTTGTGTATGCTCCTACTGAGGCAGACTTTGAAGCCCGATGGAAGAAGATAAATGACACATATCCTCTTCAACATCATATTCTCAGTTATATCTCAAAGGAATATATGGCTTGGCGGCATCAGTGGCCGACCCTGATCTACGATGAACCAGAAGACGGCCGTTCCATTGAATCTCAGCTCTCTGTATAGCAGCGAGACCACGAGATCATCATCATCATCATCAACGCGTTCATCAACGCGTTCATCAATACCATCATCAACGCGCTCATCAACAGCTTTAACCGCTGTGAGGCAGAGCCAAAGCCGTTACAATACACGGCAGCTGAATCTTAGTATTCGTCGAGACCAGACACAAGCCGAAATCGAAGCGGATTTGCCCACATCACGGGCTTCAACGCCGTCATCGAGTCGATCACGAACAGCTACAAATACAAGGGGAAGGGGAACACGAGGCGGGCGCGAAAGGGGAACCCGGGCTAGCTCGAGGCTCTCAGCAACACCAACGCCGTCTGACGATAACCTCATCCCAGTCACTCGATCGTCCCTGCGAGATGAGATCGTGGTCAGGTCCTGGGACCTAGGCTGAGGGACTTTTTGTGTAATTCTTGGTCACCTCTAGCTATCATAGAATTTTGGGTATGTAAAGGGGAAGATGAAGAAAGAAGGCGGAAATTACCGAGTTTCACGTGACGAGCTGTGTGAGTAGCAAAAACGGGCTGTGTGAATAGCACGACTCCCCTATAAAAGGTAGAACCTGACCTCAGGAACATTGAGGTCAACAATGAAGACTTTACTCATACATTATCAAGACATATTACCAAGTACCATTAAATACTATGATATCTCCTGATACATGAGCGTCTTGTACCAACCGTCGACATCTACTTGCACACCGTCAGATCCTACGTACCATACGACGGATCCCCAGGGACAACCATAACAGACAAGTACATGGTGCGGCGGGAGCGGCTGAAATCGACAGCTGGAGCGTGAGGGCCGCGGCAATGAGGCGCAGGCGCCTTCAATATTCATCGGGCGCGTCGGGTCGGGCGACATGGTGGTAAAGTCCGGTGAGGACCGCGGCAGGGTGGCCAAGCGTCACGGCCTCATGGCGTTCGAGATAGAGGCGAGGGCGTCTGGGACGAGGGTGCTGTGCATCGTGGTCAAAGGAGTCGGCGACTACGCGGCCACAAGAATCCTTCTAACCCCCCCGCAGTCGCAGCATCAGATAAACTGTCGACTCGGCTTCGATCCCATAATCTCCTAATGTTCCCAAGTCTGGGAGTTGTTTTCCTCCGTATATTAGCCTCTGCTCATCCGTCGGGGTGCCTACTTTCTCTTGGATCAAGCATTTGAGAGTGAAAATCGTGGTGACTTCCGTGGTGTTGTTGATTGTTATGGTCTTCCTGATCTCGATGTTAGAGCTCCTTCTTTTCTTGCCACCATTTAAATCTCTGTTTTTAGTAACACTCTCAAGGGATAATCATGTGCTGGAGCGTGCTATAAGAATAGAATGAGAGTGACTCAGTAGTGTGAGGGTCCCGCTTACATACCCCGCCAACGTTTTCACGAATATCTGTCTCGATTTGAATTTTGGGTCGTCCTCTGATACCTCGGGTCCAACGTATGTGAAGCGCAAACGAACGGATGACTCAACGTCTCTGCTGCCAGACACCAGGTAGTAGGATAACTGGCGGCCGTTATTCATGTCGTCCGTGTCACCGTACGACAGCTGCTGGTACTTGACAGGTATCTTATAGCTTTCTGAGACTTTTCTCTTGACATGATAGACCAGATCTCGCGTGCTCTGGGTGCATGAAAACGGGAACCACTGCTTTTCGAATGAGACCTGCGGGCGAGAGTGTTATCCCTGAATGGCAACCATGCGGTTGGTGTCTTACGTCGAATTCGATCCTGACTTCTTTGGGTTTTCTCGTGGGAACTTCGTATGGTCGATGCTCTCGAATAATCAACCCGAGGCGAGAGCATTGCGTTCTTTTGATTTCCTCGAGTCCCATGCCGTCCGAGAGCATCAATCCCCCGGCAGTCAGAATCTGGGATGAAGGAGGTATTTTGACCATAATCCATTTAATAATGCGTATCCAGAGGAAAAAGTGGAGGCACTCATGGGGCAGCACTCACGCTGTTGGAAGATCTGATCTTTGATGTCGGCAACCTGAATCTCTTCAGAGATATTCACCTCCAGGGTGCCCATATCTGAGTTATATACGGGAAATGTACTGAAAGACATCATGGATGGGCTTTTGACGCCCTCGGGAAATGTATGTGGGAGGGGCTGGGTGATCGTGGTGTGGTCTTGGTTGGTTGGAGAAAGGCAGGTAAGGTTGTGAGAGCGAGAACGAGAAGCGCCCGCCCGTCATAAATTGTAATTGCTTCTCCGAACTACTGCATGCATGCCTGAGAGCCTGAGGCCCCATTTACTGTAGTGCGGACGATTGCGGCTTACTCGACGACCCTTCCATCGCAGCTCGCACCTCTCGTCCGCCTGCTTGCTTCATCAAAGCTCCAGGCCTGAACAAATTTTTGTTGAGACTTGGCGACAAACCTTTTGCTGCGATTTTCGGTTGCGATGGAGCCTAGGGGCACCTCACAGCCTCCCAGCCGAGGGTTGCGGCTTTTGTCCTGCTGTAATAAACCCACACACACGAGCAACGGCAACTGCAAGTACTGATTGCACGCGGCGCCAGACGGGGGCGGGGTCAGAGGCCTTTCGTCGCTGCTGACCCTCAATCGCTTGATGAGGAGTATCGACATGGTAGGTGGCAACGGTACCGGAGGGTAAGTGTGATTATTCTCTCCACCAATGCGGTCGGTCATTTGAACGGGAGCTCAGCTAATTTTGGGCTTCTCTCACAGCCTGATCGCCATCATGCTCGGTCGCCTCGAGATGACAGTGCAGGAATGCATCGACAGGTACCTATCCAGTGCGTCCTCTCTATCGTGACCCGAGAGCCCGGGCTGAAGCCGTTTGGGAATAACCTCAAGCGCCTCGGTAAGACCCCCGTGGCTATTGCTACGGAGACCGAGGACACTGCAAAGCGGTTCGCCTAGTCACATAATAATCTGACGTACTTTCGGCTGAATGTCGTCAAGGGCCTTGAGGACGTGGGACTGGAAGAGTACAAAGAGATCAAGAGGATCAAAACCGTCACCGACAGGTATCTCGAACAGCCATTGAGGGCCTCGGTAGGGTTGGAAAGACGCAGATTGCCCTCGAGGCCTCCTATCGGGTCCACGACACAAATCCCGACTGCTCCATCTTCTGGGTCCCGGCTACCGATGCAACTAGCTTTGAGAACGCCTACCGCGTGATCGGGCGGCAGCTCGAGATTCCAGGAATCGACGACGGGAAGGCCGATATCAAGACACTGGTCAAGGGAGCTCTGAGCCAGGAGAACGCTGGCGCATGGCTCTTGATCATTGATAATGCCGATGATGTACAGTTACTATTCAGCAACCTAGCTCTCTGCGAGCATCTTCCATTCAGCAGAGACGGCTCGATCCTATTCACGACCCGGAATCACGAGATAACAGAACGTCTCGATATCCGCAGGATGGATGCTATCACTATAGCAGAAATGAGTATCCGCCCTAATCTCAAGAAGCAGCTTGACTACTTCTGTGACGCTGGATCCGGGTCACGTGTGCTGATCATGTGCGGGGCCTCCAGGCCCTCGGGGCCTCCAGGCCCTATGTGCCTAAGGATACCACTCCGCGTCATAGGGGATTATTACCCCGCTCGGGTAGGTTTCGCTGAAACTTGGCTCTTCAAGCTTCAGTCTTGATCCCAGTTTGAATGAAGATAGCGCTCATCAATATACCTTCTACCATCTTGCTCACTACCTGACTTCCTATACCTTAGACGCCTCGTGTGTCACAACTTCGAGATATCCGTTGTATGATGCTACATTGACTGGCGTCGATCCATAGGGCGGCCTTTCCTGCTTGAACAGCTCGCTGATTGCGAACCCGTCTGGGACCTCGTCTTGCCAGTCCGGGTCGCCGGACCTGGATAGGTCCCTGATCCGGCGTTCCCAATAGTCTGCAAAGGACGGATTGATCGGGGCTGACAGCATCAAGGAAATAAAGGATCGGCCTCATATCCCTGGAACCTGGAAGGTCTAGGCTAATAGCTTCTGTCAAGACCTCCGCCAGCTTGTGACCCAAGTGTCTTGCTTAGTCCGGCCTGGGCCTTTCAGGACAACCTTGAGGCGTGTTCAGACCTCCCTTTCGCGGTCGTAGCTAGTAGGTTCAACCCGGGCATTCAAGAGAGACAGCTGCGTTGCTACGTCTCTGTAGAAAAGAAAGAGGGCAATTGAGCGTCGGTATTGCCCAATTCCACCTCCATGGTGGCGGCTGCTGTCAACCGCACTTCCAATGCTAAGTCGTTGGGTGTAAGCCATCCATTTGGACTTGACGCCAGTACCGATACCGATGGCAACACCAACGGGGGCATATATCCCCATGGGCATGAGTTCATTCTGTCCTGTACTTAGACGTTTATTCTTGTTATTTTGTCCGGTACAATCGCGCTGCGATGCGTGTTGCTTCTCATCGCGGCCTGTTCTCTTGCTAAATACTAGGGTAATCTAGCCCGCCAGCTAGCTACTTGATAAGACCTGCCTCGGTTATGAGAGGTCGGTAAGTCTGGGCTGCGTCGAATTGTCCATCATCAGTTGTTTCGATAAGAAAATTCCCACCTTGACTTCAAGCTAGTCTCGTTCCCCGGTCTTCAGTGGGGTTGGTGGCTGATATCTGTCGGTAAGCTGCCTTTCGCCGAGACTTGGGCCCAATGACCGACGTGATGTGCCCCGCATGGTCACGGCGTAATGACAATACCCCGGACACTCGTTGTAACGAGCCAAGTGATGCGGACTAATCTACTGCGTAACAGAGATAAAGGGTGTTGTCGGCTACGTTCGGAATTACGGGCAACCCCCGGTCATTTTGGCCACTTCACTGGATGCTCTGGAGTCAAGACATAGGAAGACGTTGCTGACCTGTCTCGGGAAGGAGTGACTTGGCCAGAGTGATGAGAAGGCAGATTCCTAAGACGGCAACTTCGGTTACTTACTTAACTTAAGTTAGTTGGAGTCTCCGGGATGGCTTACCTGGCACACCCAACATGCTACGCTGTCTTTCCATGCATCAGTCGATGTCGTGACCCGGGGGTGGAGAGATTATTTAAGCATGGCTAGATAAGAGGTAGCGAAGTGGCGTGAACCCCAAGTATCCCTTAGACCGTGGTAAGACTACACTTGGGCTTGGCGACCCCCCCCCCCCTGCCCGGTCGCGGTTACAACTTCGAGCCTATGGACCTTCCTAATGAGGCCCCCGTGATAGCAGCTCTGCCCCAGCAGCCGCTGTTGCTATTCCAGGAATTCCTACCTATTTCACTAGTAGAGACCTGGGTTGGCTACATGAATAGCTGGGTCAGTTACATATTGCAGCAGCACGAAGCCGGTAGCCGCAGACTACCATGCAGTACCCACCTACCAGTCATACCCACCTACCGTACGGAGGGCGCTTTCAAAAATCTTGTCCAAGCGCTAAGAACGCCACACCTACGCCGCTACGACCAGCTGGGCCCTGGGGGCGTTGCGAGCAGAAACCCATTCTCGTCTCCAATCCGCGGCCAAAAGCAGTCTCCGCAAAGGAAAGCTGCTTCCCCGACACTGCCATCAAAGCAGTCAGATCGCGAGGTGACCAAACCGCCAGCCTACCCTGGAGAAAAACATACACCACTGAATCCAACCGCAGCTGACGTCGATCCAATGCTTCCAATTCCAAGTTCGGGTATGTCTCGTCCCTTCCACGATTAAAATTGGTTCCTTCTGATCATCATCACGCCGCCATCAAGCCATGATTTAGACATCATCCTATGCCCTAGTCGCGATTATTTCTTCTTTCCGCTTTACTATCAAAACCCTATTCCCTACTGAACCCTACTCTCCTCCGCTGCTCAGGATGCCCGATGTCAATAACTACACTGTCGGTTGGATCTGTGCCATAAAGACAGAGTATGTTGCCGCACAATCTTTCCTTGATGAGAAGCACGACCGGCCCGACCATGTCTCCACGAACGATAGCAATATATTCCGCCAAGGGCCTAGCTTTCAATAACGCCTGGAGCTGCCCCACACCTGTGCCCACTGTCGTCCACTACAACCTGGCAACGTGGTCGGGCCTGACGCGGCCGGAGCGCCAACATCTGCCTCTTGTTCCGCTGTGCCCCTCCGACTCCAAGACCTGCACTTAGTCGTTCGCGGCCCTCAACTGGCGCTCCCTAATGGAGTTAGAGTCGGGCGAGTACGGTGATAGCAACTCTACGGAGGGAGGAAGGAGACGGGCTTCAGGCACCTTTTGACGGGGACGGGCGGGGGATTAGCAGTGGGGTGCTGTTAACAGCCAGTTCTGCCTCTGTTAGGTATTAGCCCCTCATGTACCTCCCTGCTACAAGTGTGTCCACCAAAGCCACAGTCAACTTAATCCGGAAATAGTCAATTGGATCAACTAGGAAGCTATTCTCGCTGTATCCTCTGTGTTGTGTTCCGTTCCATCTGATCTCGCTGTCGGGCGAGGCATTTTCGGGTGACCCGGCCGAGACCGGGTTGTGGCCTGAGGCATCTGCCCGGCCAAGACCTTCCGTCTGACAAGATGCCTTGACACGTGACTATCATCCATGCTGGATAGAGCCCCACCCTCCAACGGAAGGGGTAAGCCTCAAGTACTACTGTACACCTGACGGGCCCAAAAAGGACCCATTTCAACTGGAGGAACTGGAAGTTCTCTGGGCCGTTGTCAAGGCCCAAATTTAGGCCCCTGTGGTCTTGTGCCCGATTTGTTGGGGTGAGGTTGAACCTTCTCCCATCCGCAAACGCGTTCGGCTTCGGCGCGGGTAAAACATCTTTGCCTCTCTGATCTGGGTTATAATGGGTTGGACTCGATGATGGAAGCTTGCTTTTCCGGGGAGAGCGAACGCTTGACTAAGACTGGGACCGCGTCCTTCGAAGGGATACCCTCGACCGCCGGCGGGCGTCAACACCTATCAAACAAGATGGATTGGTGGGAACAGCTTGGTGACGATAGAAGATCTTGATTCCTAGCTAACTGACGGTCTGAAGGGCCGTATTTTATAGAGGAATTTGAATACAGTAGATGTCTTCGTACAGGGATCGTGATCAGCCCACTCACTGACAGCAGGATCAGCTGTTGGGCTGCTAGCGAGATCAGCTGTTGGGCCTATTAGTCCGTCTGGGAAAATAACAGTCCGTGGAAAGCATATAAAATCGTATGCCTTTGACTGCCGAAGTCGGCGATAGATGTGACATCCTTGTCCGTTCCGTCTGACAACACCCATCAAATCCTTGGGGCAGCACACCAGACGTTAACACTTCAATCTACGAGTATAAAATAGTCACTCTCCCCAGACCCGTTTATTAAATAAAGATATTAAAAATACTGTCATATATCCCTAAGGAAACGAACCTTTAGGAACCTTCAATGATACTTGCGCTTCTTGGACTGCGCTCTTCAGCTGATCAAAAGGAACGTCCCTGCCTGCCTCCGGCATATTGATTCTACAATTTTTACCCTCAACATACCATACTAGGTGATCCGAAAAGCTTCTCCGTAACCAAACGCTATATAAGTCATTGAAAGATTGGCTGTCCATTGCGAGAAGAAAGGAATAGAATCTTCCATCCGACAAAGCTGACAGCCGACGCGAGGCGTGCGCTGCAGCGGACCGCACGTCCGAGTCCGGATCCTTCATCAGGACCACGAGGGCCTCGAGGGCCGGCTCCGACAGCGCCAACTGCCCACACAAGGCGCCCGCCGCAGCCGACCGCACGCGCGAGTCCGGATCCTTCACCAGGCCCATGAGGGCCTCGAGGGCCGGGTCCGACAGCGCCGACTGCCCACCCAAGGCGTCCGCCGCAGCCGACCGCACGTCCGAGTCCGGATCCTTCAACAGGGCCACGAGGACCACGAGGGCCGGCTCCGACAGCGCCAACTGCCTACACAAGGCGCGCACCACAGCCGACCGCACGCGCGAGTCCGGATCCTTCACCAGGCCCACGAGGGCCTCAAGGGCCGGGTCCGACAGCGCCGACTGCCGGCCCAAGGCGTGCGCCGCAGCCGACCGCATGCGCGAGTCCGGATCCTTCACCAGGGCCACGAGGGCCTCGAGGGCCGGGTCCGACAGCGCCGACTGCCAGCCCAAGGCGTGCGCCGCAGCCGACCGCACGTCCAAGTCCGGATCCTTCACCAGGGCCACGAGGGCCTCGAGGGCCGGCTCCGACAGCGCCCACTGCCCATACAAGGCGTCTGCAGCAGCGAAGCGCACGTCCGAGTCCGGACCCTTCAACAGGGCCACGAGGACCACGAGGGCCGGCTCCGACAGCGCCGACTGCCCGCCCAACGCGCGCGCCGCAGCCGGCCGCACGTCCGAGTCCGGATCCTTCACCAGGGCCACGAGGGCCTCGAGGGCCGGGTCCGACAGCGCCGACTGCCGGCCCAAGGCGTGCGCCGCAGCCGACCGCACGTGCGAGTCCGGATCCTTGACCAGGGCCACGAGGGCCTCGAGGGCCGGGTCCGACAGCGCCAACTGCCCACACAAGGCGCCCGCCGCAGCCAACCGCACGCGCGAGTCCGGATCCTTCACCAGGCCCACGAGGGCCTCGAGGGCCGGGTCCGACAGCGCCGACTGCCCACCCAAGGCGCGCACCGCAGCCGACCGCACGTCCGAGTCCGGATCCTTCAACAGAGCCACAAGGACCACAAGGGCTGGCTCCGACAGCGCCGACTGCCCATACAAGGCGCGCACCGCAGCCGACCGCACGTGCGAGTCCGGATCCTTCACCAGGCCCACGAGGGCCTCAAGGGCCGGGTCCGACAGCGCCGACTGCCGGCCCAAGGCGTCCGCCGCAGCCGACCGCACGTCCGAGTCCGGATCCTTCACCAGGGCCACGAGGGCCTCGAGGGCCGGGTCCGACAGCGCCGACTGCCAGCCCAAGGCGTGCGCCGCAGCCGACCGCACGTCCGAGTCCGGATCCTTCACCAGGGCCACGAGGGCCTTGAGAGTCGGGTCCGACAGCGCCGACTGCCGGCCCAATGCGTCCACAGCAGCGAAGCGCACGTGCAAGTCCGGATCCTTGACCAGGGCCACGAGGGCCTCAAAAACCCCCTCCGGCAGGGCTTTACGATGATACCTGAATACGTCAAGGGCCTCTCGTTTTAACCCTCCTGAGAAGACGTCCTCGGATTCTTCTCGTAGCACGGCCTCCAGGATTTGGTCTGGGAATTCTATCTCGGCTGCCAGTTGTGAATGTCCACACAAGGTCCATTCAAACAACAGCCACCGTTTTAACTGCTCTTGAAGTCGATTGAACTCCGGGATTTTCTGTGATGGAACCACTTCGCTCAGGCAGTGCATGACCAGCCGTTGATGCACTGGTCCCAAGAGATCGCGGGGCTGCTCCTCAATCGTGCGGAAAAAGCCGCAGAGTTGCTCCTCGTCGTGGTTGGTGTGAAGTAAGCCGGCGACAAAACGCCAAAAAATATCGTAGCGTGCGTTGTATTTCTCCTTCCGTAGGAATTCTTCAGCATTGATCTTTGTGACTCTGGAGATCTCCTGTCGGCTGCCGAGTTTTAGAACGGGGAGCTGCTCTCCAGATGTCCACTGCAGGACAAAATACCGCGCAGCAAAGTACTCCTGAAAGCTTAGGTGTATAAAGTGGTAATTTCGGTCCTTGACCTTTGATGACGAGCCTGATGTGCGCAGGAAAGAAAGTCGTGCAAATGTCTCATCAATTGGCAAATGCGACCGTGGGGACTTCTTGACTATCTCATCTCGATGCGCTGGCGTGAAGTCTATTACGTTGCTGTGCAGCCCGTTAAAGGCAAGAGATTCAAGAAGTGCAATCTCAGTCTCAACACTACGCGCGATCTCAGCTGGACGAGCTGATCCGGCGTGGCCCTCGGACATCTTATCCAATCGCACGGCATCTTTCTTCCACAACCTTCGCTCGATAGCTTGGTATATGCGGGTCATAGTGTCCGGCACAGTTCCCGGGTCGAAGTCTTCCCAAGTGTAACAAAGCGCGTCCAGCTGAATTGGGATCCGCACAAGACCCTGGATAAGCCAATGTTTTTGAAGGAAGGACTGGACCTCGTTGGCTCTTGGCTTTGTTTTGGGGTCGGCGTTGAGGTAGGCTTTCACCTGATCTGGGTAGAATCCGATTGTTTCTAACTCAAGGTCGAGACCACGGAGACCAACAGGAATGTTTGCGTTTGGCCGGGATGTAATAATGGCGTTGGGCTGATCTAAAAGAACCTTAAGGAAACGGAACATATCGCTATTACCGCGTAAATCCTGGAGTACTTCGTCCAAACCATCGAGAACGAACAGAGTTCTACTGCTATGGGTGTCCTTCAATATTCGCCATAGTTCTCCGGCAAGACGGCGGCCATCGTCGTGTCCCTGTCCAGAGAAGTATTCATGGTAGAACAGTTCCTCGTGGTTATATCCCGGGGTTGACCGCCCTTTCAGATTCCGCAAAGGCACCCAGAGCAAGCGGTCGAACAACTCTGTCCAGGTGCGATGAAGCTCCGTCTGCGTACCATGCGTAAAGTCGTAAACCATCTTTTTGCACAAGGTAGTCTTCCCAACTCCCGCGCGTCCTCGAATCAAGATTCGTCTTGGTTGTATCGTGCGCCCATCGCGACCAACACGCTGACTGAAGAGTGTCGGCAACTCGACCTGGATCGTCTTGTCCGGTGTCTCAACCTTCTGTCGAGCGAAGAGTGAAAACGGGGAGGGCGTTACGTCTCCTTCCTTTGAGCGACCTGTGTCTTGGCCCGGCTGCTCCACAATGGCAAGATTGATGTAACACTGATCCATCGGCAACAGGTCGCCCGACAGTCGTTCAATCTCGAGCCTGCCTGTATTGTAGTGTTCGTTCCGTATCAATGCGTCCGCTTGCTCGAGTAGAGTTCCCTCGCGAATCTTTCCGACAATCTCTTCAATTTTCCTAGCGACATGTTCGTAATCTTTACACCCAGAGTCGCCAAACTTGTTCATCAGGACGTGGGTTCGTTCGAGCCGCTGTCGTCCGAAACCCTGCAGACTTGCCGAGTTCTCATCAACCAGCTGGTGAGTGTTAGCAGCCTTCTCCCTCTTGGAATAGCGAAGATGGCCAGAGGATATTCAGCCTGCAAGTGTTCTGCAATACTTACCAGGTTTGACTGGTAAGACCAAAGCCCTAAGAGCCAAGGAAAAAATAGGACCAGTAGCCAAGGCGAAAAACATTCCAGTAGCCAAGCTGAAGCCAAGCCAACTAGCCACGCTAGAAGCATCCTATTCGAAAACAGCCAGGCCAGATGAATTTTTCGTAGAAGAGTCGTCCCTTTACCTTCGTAGAAGGTGAAGAGGTGGTAATCCTGCCGTCGCCGTAGCTCAATGAACTTGTCCACGAGTTCGTCGAGACTGGATGTTGCTTCCTTCGTGTAGTCAATCAATGCGGTTACTGTTTGGTCATGGAGCGAAGCCCAGGCCTTTAAAACTGGCACGGGCATGTTTTTAAACGCAGTCCCCCGGAACGGCGTGGCAAGGAAAACAACGCCACGTGTCGCCCTTCTGAGAGGGGCGGGATCCCGGTCATCGCGGTCATAGCTATCGTCGATCTCGAGTGCCTTTATCAAGATGATGCCGCCGAGACAAGATGCGATGAAGAGAATTGGTCGATCTCGTCCTGCCCGTCTATTCGCTGCTAAATGCTGTCTGATACCGCCGAGCAAGCACCGGGCAGACTCCTCGAGCGTCGTCGGGGTCGAGACTGACTTTTGAAGAAGGTTGGCCGGCCAGTCGCGATAGAAGATCCGGGCCGGTCCTGCGATCTTTGGAAGCATGTCTGGATGGGCCAACCAATTAACACCCTGCGTATCGGGCTTATTGGCCCGCCACAGCCACGTGTCGGGGGACTTCGTGTCCAGGCCATGGATGGCAATGATGTCGATGTCTGTGTTCGTGTTCTCGTCAACAGGATGGACTTGAACAAGACCGACGGGGCGCGTTTGTTGAGCCATATTGGCGGCCATGATTGGCGGAGTGGAGAGGTTGAAGGCGCGGTGCGTGTTTTGGTGTATGGGGGAGTCCAAGCTCCCACACCTGACCAAGACCACCAAGAGAGCGAAGCGAAGTTCCGGAAGGTTCCTTTGGCTCTCCTTGACAGACACACACAGAAAGCACGGACCTTCTTTGCCAAGACTTCGTCGATTTTACGGTGTGTTTTCCTCATTTTCACTTTGATTTTTTACTCCCGTTTTGCCACCGAGATGCTTGGAATCTCGTCGAAGACTCTTCGAGGTGGAGCCATCCCGCATCTGCGCCAGCAACTCAATCAGTGACTACTGGCCGATTTTCGACGCGTGAGGGCTAGAAAACAGTCACCCGCTCTCCATGTTGTTCTCGCCGAATTGAAGCTATACCGGGGGTTTTCTTGGCTTGCTTATCCGTACCTCTCAGACTGTTCGACAGGAGAGAGCCAAGCTAGACCTTCCAAAACGAGGCGATACATCTCGTGAGTGCACATGTCGTTGGATCGCTGTGGAAAGTAGAAGAGTGTTCGGCCCACCTGATCCGCCGGTCCGCCGGGTCCACAAGGTGCCGCGGGCCCACGAGGTCCGGCAGGAGATTCCGGCCCTCAAGGGGATCGCGGACCTCCGGGCAATTCCGGTCTGCCCGGTCAAGATGGACGAGACGGTCGGGATGGCCACGATGGGCGTCCCAGTAAGAACGGGCAAGATGGCAGAGACGTCCGCCTTGGGCCGGAAGGGCCGCGTGGGCTACCAAGCAGGGACCGCGGCTTTGCGACGCTTGCGTGCTGGCACATATTTATATACTACATCAAAGGGGCTTCGTCTTCGCCGTCGTCCATTCCCTCTCCAGTGAGATGCCTTTTGAGAGGGAGGTCGAAGATTGTGCCTGTGCTTCGTGAAGCTCCAATACTTAGGTAGCCGTCCTCGGCATCATTGTTGATGTAATCGCATCGATTCAGCGGCGGCGCGATTAAATGGGCGAGGACGCGGCATGACGCAATGCTAATTGCATCTCAGCCTCACAGTGCCCTTCTGCTTGCGATGCCCCTCCTGTCTCGCCCCCCAATCATCGAGTTGCCGGACCACAATTGACAAGACGCTTTCCAGACGTACTCCCTCAAAGGACGGCAATGTTAGCGCTGCTGCCTGAGGCAGCTCACATATACTGTTATGAGTCACAGCCCACATGGGACGTATTGGCACCAGCCACACACTGTGTGTTAGCCACGTTTGGTCCACATTTGGTACAGCTTCTGACACTGCGGTGAACCTGAACCCTACTGTACTAAAAGGTTTTCACATTTTAAGGCTTAAATGGCTTACCCGCATGCCGATCTTTCACATGGGATTTGCTCGCTTTTGCTGGCCGGCCAGCCTAACAATTGAAGCAATCGTGGCCTCGAGCTTTTCTTTTAGTGACGTGATAATAGGGTTCCCCGTTCAGGTAGCTTGTATCTCATCCTGGATTGGTAAATGTGGCTCTTTGGTGTTGGGACGGGAATCGCCAGCAGACATGCTGGTCAACTGCGAGGAAAAGCCTCTGATAGTGCTGTACCGAACTCTGCCGGTCCGAAAGTAGTCGTGAGACATTGATCACACTCCAACCAGGCATGCCAGAAAGCCACGCTATATCAGGGCGCACATGCCTGGGTTTGCCTTCGCTGCTGCATATGCAGGCAAAATGTAAGGGCGCAGGGAGCAACGCTGGTGGGCGAGGTTTATGTCCAGGTGTGACTGGGTCAAGTGTATTCAAACCTTAATCAATCCATTCGGCACTTCCTATTTGTCGTGCCTCCTCTATTGTATCAAGTTGTTATAGAGCTGCTTGGTGCAATACGATTGCTCTTTGAAAAGCTGCTCTACACTGATCTCCTCCACAAATGGGAGCCACAGTAAGCGACGGCGGCGCACTTCAAGTACGCAGTCTCTTTTTGCGAGGGCGCTACTCTCCTCAATCCCAGATCGACCGGCCTTGTTTTGAGAGCGTCCTAACACCAGCAACATGACAGCTGAACCTCCTTTTACCAGAGAAGCCGCACCAATTCGCAACGGTAAATATGAAATATATCTTCAACCCATGGCCGCAAAAGGGCAGGAAACTAACACTGCTTGCGAAACAGGTGCGACCATAAACAGTACTCATGAACCCTATTCCTATGACTCCGTTGCCCCGACTCTCTACCTGGATGGGAAAACTCTCCGTGAATTGCCTTCTGTAAAGGAATATCTACGTCGGTCATTTGACTTGAGTCGGCTTCATAAAATCCAGAAGCGACTGTGGTTAGCAGGGCTCCCTCTTCCGGCTCGGTCTCTACACAGACAAAAGATGCTAGGGCGAGATATTGTGATAACAGAGCAATCGGACCTGCATCTCACTTGGCGAGAGTCGACCATGTTTCTGAAACCGCTCTGGAAGCCACTACTCGACTACGACTTCTGGAGAACGGAACTCTGCAATGGAGATCTTCAGATCTACAAGAGTGCGGCTGGCCTGGTCCTATCCTATGTATGGCTCATCACCTCTAAATCCGATCTACAGATTGCAAAGGATCACAAACTAGTACCAAAGAGGTTGAAATGGAAGACGTGGGCGAGGTTTGCACGGAGCTTTCTTGAAAGCAACAGCATGATCGGTCTCGACACACAGGTCGCCAAGCGCTACGAATATGGCGAACTACGGATACACCGCCTCAATATGATCTACCGTTTTGCCCCAGAGATGTTTCCCCGGCATCTGTTTCGGGGCTACTTGTACGGTTACAACCAGTACAGCGCGTTTTTCGGGCGAAACTTCGCCTGGGCAGCCGTGGCCGTGTTGTATATCGGCCTGCTCCTGACCGCAATGCAGACTGCGCTGGCAGTCAACCCGACCAAAGAGAATACACATTTCCAGCAGGCCGTGTATGGATTCTCAGTGTTCTCGATGGTTTCAGTGTTGTTCTTGTCGGTACTGGCGTTGGGATACTTTGTATTTGCATTTATGATAAATCTTGTCTTCACTAGAAGAAAGGTGAAAGAGCAGTCGAGGCAGAGGGAAAGCCAGAAGGCCTTGCTGGGGTCATCTACGCCATAATTAGGCGGCCGCTCCTTTCCATCACACCCTGGACACGCGTCCATCCTGCAACTTCCCGAGTGGGGGAAGAACTGAGCAGCTTGGTAAACGTACTTGTATACTATCATACCGTTATCATTCCAGAAATTCCAGAAAACACCTATTCCTCATGTCATTTCTAGCGGAGCAAGATATGGGTCCACCATTGTTGCCAAGTGGCTAAAGCAAGAAAAAGTTTTCAGCATGTCCGGAACTCAGTGCAATGAGCGCACCCCCGTCAATGACTGGGCGGAGTGACATAGTCAGGTTTCCATACCTGATTACTGCAGGGCTGAACTCACCAGACCAATTTTGTAGCCTCTTGCTTGGAAGGGCAATTTCTGGATGCCAAAGGCCAACCTGTGGACTCGCAAGCGCCGATGCCAAGCAGGTTCCCATCCATGATACTCCCTTCATGGCAGCAATCGACTTTCACATGTCTACGACAGCAACTCATGTACAAAGGTTTCCACAGTTTAAACCTTCAAATGACTTTCAAGCATGCCGAGTTTTTCACAAGGGGATTTGCTCCCCGCTTGCCGGCTAGCTTAACAATTGGTGGCCTCGAACTTTTCAGTGACGTAATTGTGACAAAGGTTTACACCATTCCGGTTGGTCCGAAAAACCTCTTCCCCGCATACCCCATGGGCTGCCCCATTCCCCAATCGCGGCCAGCCGTGTGCCGACAAAGTGCGGCTCGCACAGTTTGCCTCACCACAGGCAAAGCGCACCCCCTCTCACATGTGTGGCAGCGTCAAAATCCCACGAGGTAGCGTTCCAAGGACCGAAATGCTGTGAAGACACTACTTGACAATGGCGCAAGACTTGAATGCCCAAGGGGATACTGGTCGAACACCGCTGCTGGTCGCTGCAGAGAATGGGCACGAGGCGGTAGCGAAGCTGTTGCTCGCGAAGAATGGCATCAACCCGAACATAACGGATAACAACGGTCGGACGCCGCTATCATGGGCCGCAGAGAAGGGGCACAAGGCGGTGGTAAAGTTACTACTCGCAGAGAACGTCAACCTGAACACCAAAGACAATAATGGTTGGGCACCGCTGTCGTGGGCCGCAGGGAATGGGCATGAGGCGGTAGTGAAGCAATTGCTCGCGAAGGATGACATCGATCCGAACATAACGGATAACAACGGTCGGACGCCGCTATCCTGGGCCGCAGAGAAGGGGCACAAGGCGGTGGTAAAGTTACTACTCGCAGAGAACGTCAACCTGAACACCAAAGACAATAATGGTTGGGCACCGCTGTCGTGGGCTGCAGGGAAGGGGCACAAGGTGGTAGTGAGGATGCTGCTCGCGAAGAACTACCTTCTCCCAGATGCGGAAGACAAAAACGGTCGGAGGCCGCTGTCGTGGGCCGCAGAGAAGGGGCACGAAGCGGTAGTGAGACTGCTACTCGCGAGGAGTGGCGTTATCCCGAACGCCAAAGACAACCACGGTCGGACGCCGCTATCATGGGCTGCAGAGAAGGGGCACGAGGCAGTGGTACACCTACTGCTTTTAGATCATCGAGTCACTCCAGGCACCGACGACATAGACGGTCGGACGCTGCTGTCACGGGCTGCAGAGAAGGGGCACGAGGCGGTGGTGAAGTTATTGCTCGCGAAGGATGGCATCGACCCCAACAAAACGGACAAAGATGGTCGGCCGCCGCTGTCATAGCCCGATTGAGATGCAAGATGCAATGACACAATCGATACTGAGAATATGTGATTCAAGTTCAAGGCGCTGCCTGACTTGGTTTAGAATCTATTGGACAAGTACAAACACGGATTTTCCTCGTGGGTTCACCACCATTATGATTGCATCATATTTCGGGCTTAGAACAGCTGTGGCGCGTTTACTTAAGATGGATGGCATCGACCTGAATTCTCGAGATAAAACATACCAGCGGTCGGCCCTAGCTTGGGCTGCAGGAAACGGGTTTGACGTCGTTGTCAAGCTATTAATCAAAGGCGCTGTTATTGACCTGAAGAACCTCAGGCAACTGTTTAGGAAGGGAGCGGAAGTCGGCTCGGTGGATAGATATGGTCGGACGCCATTATCGTATGCTGTTTGGAGTGGGAACGTGGCCGTCGTCGAGCTGCTAATTAAGGCCGGGGCTCGGGTGGACTCGAAGGATGAGATTGGAGGGACGCCATTATCGTATGCCGTCTGTAAAGAGCATAAGGAGGTGATTGAGCTACTGCTAAAGAAAGAAACCCAGGTTGGTTCGGAGGATGATGTTAGGAAGGAATTTGGTCGGTCGCCGCTCTTATGGGCCACCCAGAATGGGCACGAGGCCGTAGTCGAGCTGACCAGTCCAATTAAGGCAGGCGGTCCAGTCCAGGCACCTACAGTGCTGAGCTTCTTCCCGCCTCTCATTCAAAATGTTTCCGCCCAAAATCCTAGTGTATGTTTCGCCAAGTCCCTTGGGAAGATCCTTGAGTTTGTCCGCGACCTCATATTTCGGTGTGCATTTCAGCTCATTGAGCATCAGAGATACCCAGAGGCAGACATCCCAGTAATAAATATATTTTTAAGGCTTAATGCATAATTATTGTTAAGCTTAGCCATATGGATAAGAATATACCCTTGGGCCATAACATTATTCAGCCGAAGGCTGACTCTACATTAATCCATAAGTTTTCCCAATAATGAGGGTTTGGTGCAGACAGGGATTAATAAGTTTCCCGGGCTCTGATTGGTTTAAATTTTGTATGGACGGCCACAAAACGAGGAGCAACTGGACAGGAGAGGCAAACCGGTCGCGGTTTGCACAAAGAAGCCTTAAGGAACGAAGTTGGCCATGGTCAATTTCCCTTTCTTTTATCAACTCCGATCACACCACCCAGGTTCGAATCTTAAAAGGGAGAATGTTTTTTATTCATGCGCACTCTTTGTAATGATATTGGTTTTCCAAATAGCCCTTCAATCAAACTTTAGATACTTCTTCTAAATATTTATTTTTAGGGGGATAATAATTTCGGCTCGGACAGTTAGAGGATTCCAATATAGCAGCCATAATCGTATTAAGGACGGGGGTAGGTGCAGGCAGATGAGTTGCTGGCGCCAGGGGTCTTATAAAGGACGAGGTGGGGGTCTGATTTCTGCTATAGCTTGGTTTAGGCTTGTTAATAGTTTCCAGTAAGCTCAAGTTACCGGTAGAAGGATATATTCCCAAGGAAGGGGTAGTGGTTGGGGATATCGGCAGCTAGTGCAGTCTCTTTACAGGCAGTATATAATCGGTGTCTAATGGTAGTTGTTTTGGCGTCGGTGAGGTGGAGAGGTAGTAGTACTGTATAGATAGTATAGAGATGACGGATGGTATCGATTTGTCCGGGGTTGAAGCTGGGGTTGTAGTTGTAGCGGGAAGGGGAGTTAATAGAGTAGTAGGTCTGTGTGTAGTGAATTTGGCCTTAATCTCCTCGAATAGTATATAGCTAGAAGATAATAAACAGATTGCTAAGGTTGCAGTACCTGGCAGCGGTATTAGTAAGCTAGACCCGGAAATTTCTTTATTAAGAAAGGTCTAGGAGTCTGGAATAATAATAAAAATATAGTCCTACTTAAAAGCTAGTAGCTATACTATAAGATAATAGCTAAGTAGGCTGGCTATCTTATTAGTGTAGGTTAGTAAAATATTACTCTAGAATTAGATATCTTATTTCTTAGCTATCTTCTTATAAAGTAAGGCCTATAGATTTATATAGATAGAGAAGATAATAAAAACCTAGAAGGGATAGAAGCCTTTGTATAGTATCTTATTAGGATTTTTAGGAGTAAGAAATATAGTTAGCTAGATAAAGCTGTAGTACTTAAGTTAAATATTATTTAGGGCGGGTATAGATTCCTTATATAGAAGGGCGGGGCCTGGACTTATAATAGGGCTGGTAAAATTAATAATTGGGGATAAAAAAGAAAACTAATTAATTATAAAGAGACTTTAAGGTAATATTCTACAGGTAAAGAAATTAGTAAAAATCAGAAGAGCAGCAGAAAGAGGACGGGATGAATATAATATATAGCTAATAGCCTTAATTACACACTATAAAAGCCGGGATGGTATATATAAGAAGACTGCTATCTATAGACTCCTCTAGGTTATCTTAATACTTAACCTCCTAAGTTAGTATAAATAGGTAGATATAGCCAGCCATAAAAAACTACTAGTCAAATCAATCCTTAAGAATAATATACTAATTGTATATAGATAAGTTAAGGCTAAAGAAGATAGAGAGAGATAAATTAGCAGGATTAGTATATAAGGATAAGTAATTTAGAGCTATAAGCTATAGAGGGGTTAGGAGGATAACTCTTGCAATAATCTCTATATTTAGGCTCTTAATATAATACTAGTCTAAAGAGGTAAATCTTAAAGAGCAGCTAGATTAGACGAAAAATACTATAGATATATTGCCGCCGGCGCCCCTCTAGCTTGTTAGCAGCTTATAAATATATAGCAGTCTATAAGTTAAGGGAATAGATATAGCTATTATAGAAGATACTAACTAGCTGTTTATATATCTACCTTGCTAGATATTAAGGAATATAAGTTAGAATATTAATAGATATAAGGAGAAAATAAGTATTAGTATAAATTAAAGTTTAGGGGAAAAGAAAATAAAAGAAGATAGAGATAACTAATAATATTAGTATAGTAGGTAGAAGTTAAAGTAAAATTAAGTTATAGTTAGCTATTAAGAAGAAGAATAAAATAAAAAGGATAATTTATCTAGTAGTAGAGTTAGAGGGAAATAGAAATTAATATAGTAAGAATAAAAGAAAGTTTACCTATTATAATTTTCTAATAAATCTGGATTATTAGAATAAAAACTCTTAATTTTTCTATTTAGTAAGTAAAAAAGAGTTAGTTTTTTATATATAATATAAATTAAGCTTCTAGA